CGGTACTAGAAACTAGTCAAAGTGTTTTGCTTATTTATAGTAAGTAAAGTTTTCCTTCTGTGTTATCATGTGTGAATACAATTTTAGTATTTTAATATTTTATTTACTTTATTTTTAGTTACTTCAAAGGGGATGTCGGGGGGGCTAAGTGTGTCAGATCACCATTGTGAAACAGATCTGGTGGCTGCTTTTTTATTGTGGAATAATTTGTATACCATTAAATTCACCCACTGTAAGTGTACAATTATATGATGGTTTGTAAATTTATAGAGCTGTGCAACCATCACCATGATCCTGGTTGAGAACATTTCTGTCACTCCAAACAGTTCCCTTGTGACCGTTTGCAGCTAATCACTGCTACTGCCACGGCTCTGCACTGATGTGCTTTTTGTCTCTGTAAATATGCCTTTTCAGTTCCTTGCATAAAAATGGACTCATACAATACAGTCTTTTGCATCTGGCTTTGTTCACTTAGCATAATTATTTTGAGGTTCATCCATGTTGTAGCATGTAACAGTATTTTATTCTTTTTTTTATTGCTGAGTAGTGTTCCGTTATATGGATAATACCACGTTTTGTTTATCCATTCATCAGTTGTATCTACATTAGTTGTATCTACATTTTGGCTATTACAAATGATGCTGCTATGAACATTCACATACATGACTTTCAGTGGACATAATGTTTTCATTTCTCTAAGGTAGATTTGACAGCACATAACAATAACAACAGCAACAACACGGTAGATACCTAGGAATGGAGTTGGTAGGTTGCATGATAACTTTATATTTCAGTTTTTAAGAAACTATCAAATTACACAGTGGAATACTATGCAACCCTAAAGAATAACGTAGAATCTACAAAACACTACATAACATGGATGAACTTGGAGGACATTATGCTGAGTGAAATAAGTCAATCACAGAAGGACAAATATTATACTTAGTCAATTATTGTAAAAAGTCAAGGAAAAGTTTATATATGGAAGGAGATTTTCTTTGTTGGTTACCAGGGGTGGGGCAGGAGGGGAGGGAACACTGTTACATAGGTGGAAATAAGTATTGATTTGGGTGAAGAGAAGGGCAGTGTACCAAATGTGAGTGATCAGCATGGTGGCATTGAGGAAGAGGAAGACAGAGAGAGGTATATGGGAGGTACAGACAACAAAGATGAACCCTTTTGCACATACAGTACTGCATTGTCAGTGAAGGTAAACATGGGTATATGGTGGATAGATGAGTGGACAGGGTGAACTGTTAGGTATATCTATGCAAGGGGGAGTGTACCCAAGACCATGTGTAGGGTTGGCAGACAATATTTCTACAACTGTATTTGGATGTTCTGGAAGAATTCCCGGGTGTACAGTAGGGCTGACAAAGGACAAGGTTGTAGTCACTTCTTGGGCACAGCCAGCTACCCAGAGGGAGCGAGTAGTTGAACCTGTGGTTTCAGGACCATAGTCACAGGGGACATCAACCTCAATTGGCATAACATACTATATAAAACATTATTTCACCTCCTACTTTGGCGAGTAGTGACTGAGATCTTAAAAGCTTGCAAGCAGCCATCTAGATGCAACGATGGGTCTCTCTTTGTCCAGAGCAAAGAAGAATGAAGAAAACCAAAGATTCATGGAAACAATTAGTCCAAGTGACTGTTAAACCATGCAATCCTGAGCTTATATGACTATGAGATCAGAAGAACTAGATGGTGCCCAGCTACCACTATGAACCACTTGGCGGGGCATCTATATAGGAGATCCTGGATAGAGTGGGAGAACAATGTGGAACAAAACTCAAAATCATTTGGGGGGGAAAAAAAAAAGAAGGGAGACCAGGTGTGCTGGTCTGATAGAGCCTGGTGGAACTCCTGAGACTATGGCCCCTATGTCCTTCAGGTCTAGAATTGAACCCACACTTGTGGCTTCCAGCCAAACTAAAGACAGGCATATGAGTTGAACATTTACCTGAGGTAGATACACTCCTTGGAGAGAACAGTCATGGGAGAAAGAAGGGCTGTCTATGTATAGGGAGACAGCTCAGAGGGCAGGAGTGCATGGAGAGATGGACACTGGGAAGAGGTAGCTATCAGGAAGAAGTGGGAGGGGAGCTATTGCATTGGGGTAAATTGTAGTCAATGTCAGGAGACAAAGAGTATGTGAACTGCCGTTTGGAAGGTGAATTTACTAAACTTTCACCCAAATCACAAAAAAAGAAAGAAAGAAACTGTCACGCTATTTTCCAAAGTGGCTGCGCCATTTTACATTCCCACCAGCAATGTGTGGGGGATTCATTTCTCTACAGCCTTGTCAACACTTGGTATGTTGTCTTTTTTTATTCTAGCCATCCCAGTGGAGGTGAAGTGGGATCTCTTTGTGATTTTATATTTACCTGATGGCATTTCCCTCATTAGCCATTCATATGTCCTCTTTCATGAAAGGTCTATTCATGTCTTTTGTGTAGCCTTTAACTGTGTGTCTGCCATGGGATTGGCATTCCCCATATGACTTTGTTAGGACAAAGGTGGTAAACAGATGGGCGATCTCTCTGTTCCCTCTCCCAGCTTACAAAAGGGGATTTTGGCTTCTCCAGCTCAGTTTTTCCTCTGAGGAGGGTCTTACCTTAACTGACCAGTTCTTTTCACTTTTGCTTTTTTTATTATGAAAATTATCAAGCATTCAGAAAAACAAGGATACTTGTATAGAAGCACTGAGCTTCTATACACCCTCTTATCTAGTCAGTAATTGTCAACACCGCCATGTTTGCTTTAGTTCTCTTTATGTGTATTTTGTTGAACCATTTGAAAGTAAGTTGCAGACTTACTTTACCCTTAAATTTTTTTGTATACACCACCTAAGGATAAGGACTTGTCCCTACTTAACCACTGTATTGCTGTTGCACCTAAGAAAATGAACAGTAACTCAATGATATAATCTAATATTTGTGTTCAGATATCTCTAAACCCAGTTCCATATAGCGACCCTATAGGACAAAATAGAGTTGTGCCATGAGTTTCCAAGACTTAAATATTTATAGAAACAGACAGCCTTATCTTTCTCCTGTAGAGCAGCTAGTGGTTTTGAACTGCCAACTTTTTGGTTAGCAGCAGAATGCTTTAACCACTGCATTACCAGAGTTCCTTCAGGTATCCCCAAATGCAAAAAATGCAACCACTGCCAGGGAGTCGGATCTGACTCATAGTGACCGCTCCTTGGGTTTCTGAGGCAGTATCACTACGGAAGTAGATTGCCCAACCTTCCTTCCGAGGAGTGGCTGGTGGGTTTGAACTGCCAGCCTTCTGGTTAGCAGTCATATGCCTTAGGCACTATGCTACAAGAGCTCCCCAGGTATCCCCAGTTGCCCCAAATGTCTTTTATGACCCAGCCTAGTTGTTCTGAGTGTTTGGGGGAAGAAAGAGGGAAGGTAGAAAGCTCACAGGCTTGAGCAGCTGAAAGGGAGAGCTGAAGAGGGGAGGGATGGGAGCAGTTGTGAGGGGTGAGGGAACAGCCATTGGCAGTTTTGATGACATGCAAGGAAAGAGCTTGGGTTATTTTGACATTCCTTTTTGGTTACTGACCTGTTTCTTTGACAGCATACTGCTCTGTGATTGGGCCCTGTGGTTGAGGGGTTTGGGAGGGTGACAGATAAATTCAAGATTGGGCTGATACTCTCCTCTTTCTCATATGCCATCCAACTATCTTTCTCAGGGACCTTTTGGGCTAATCTTGTTCTCTCAGGTTTATTTTCTGATGGGTACCATAAACTGAGTATGTCCCAAACTAAATTTTTTCTACAAATCTCCCATACCCCCTTTGCTTATCTCCTTGATGAAGGATATACTCTCCTCCTGGTAAGTCACCCTCAGCTTGTTCTTGTCCCTCACCCCTTATCAATCTCTATTGAATCTCTGTTTTTACACACTCTCAGTATGTCTCCTCCTCTCTGATCTCACTATTACAACCTTAGCTTAGAGAACCTTCCTTATCTCTTGCTTGGATAATTGCAGTTTCCTTGCAGTTGGTATCATTGCCTTTATCTTCCCTTCTCCTGTTACATTATCTCTACTCTGCTGGCCACTTCCTGCTAAAAAGATGTCAGTGGCTACAATTCTCTGATGTTCAGTGGTGTGATAAATACTGTAATAGAGGTGTGTACATATTAGTGTGAGCATAATTGGTTCTACTTTGGGTGACCCCGGTGTGACCAGAACAAGTGATATTTGAGCAGGATCTCTAAGGATGACAGAATGGTGAGCAAAAGCACCAAAGCATGAGTTATATAACCTCTCTATACCTGCTTTTTCTCACATGTCATGTGGCTACAATAACAGGACCTATCTCAGAATTGTTGTGGGAACTTGAATGAGTTAATGTATGCAAAGCATGTGGCATATGGTGAGTACTTTATGAGTGTTAGCTATTATCGATGTTTTCTTATGATGAAGTGGTATGGTATACAGGGGAGCACAGTAGAATCAGGTTGTCTTTCTTCCTGGCCTTCCTTTTCAAACAAAAGTCGCAAACTGTAGTACTTGCAAGGGTCAGACATGTACTGAAATGATTACACAGGCCAGATGGGACTGAAAGCTCTTACTTCCTTAAAAAGAGGCAGCCACTGCTCAGCCTAGCTGATGATTATCATGCAGGAACGTGGACCCAGCATTGCCAGGTATTTTTATTTTTGAGAAAACCAGAAATCCAGAATGCTAAATGAAGTCTTCTAATTTTTAAATGTTGGTAATTGATTTAAAAAATATTAAAAATCTGTGTGAACCCAACGGACATCTGTGGACCATATTTAGTCTGAAGGCTACCAATTTCTAACCTTTCCTTTAAAGGTGTTCTCTGGGATAATCTGCTTGAGTCCTGCATGACTTTTTCCTGGGGATGGGATTAAGGTGGTTTTGAAGACTGGTTTTTATCCTTTTGTCTTGCAGGACTTCTCCAGACAGGTTATGTCACCAGCAGAGGCTGCCCTGAAGCTCCCTGTGGCCTGGAGACTATGTACAAGAGGAATGGTCTGATGGCTAGCGTGTTGGTCACCTCTGCCACTCCACAGGTATGGAGGCTGCTAGGATCGAGACAGTGAGGTGGGAAGACAGCTAAGCCATGGACAGCAAGGCTGCGGGGCTCCATGAATACCACCATTCTTAACACTCCTAAGGCCCCTGGCCACGCCAGGCGTGAGATTTGGGAGGCAGTCAGTCCTGAGGATCAGTATGTTTTCTGAAGTCGTTCTCTTCAAAGAAAAACAAATACCTGCCCTGTCCAGTTGTATAAAGTGCCACATTCCATTTTGGTGGCAAGAAGGATCAGACCTTTGCTAGGAAAAGCTGCTGCTGATTATAAATAAGTCACACATTCCGGAATGAAGTCAGACAGAAGCTGTTCCAGCTGGCCCTATGTTCTTATTTACCTTGCTCAGTAGGAAATGGCTGTAAGGACTGGTGGTCTAAGAGTGGCCTGGGCTAGGGCCCCTGCCACGGGGGTTTGGGAGTCTGCTTTCTAAACTCAGTAATGGAACAGAGGCGTGCAGGATGGGCAGGCGTCATCTGAGGCCTAGGGTTGCCACTGTGTTGCATGTGTAATGCCTGGCTCATGTGGCCAACTGGCAAGGCAGTATGCAGTGTTCTAAGCTCACAAGGCTCTTATAGTCAAGCTAGGTTTTTGAGATCTAGAGATTCATGGGAACCAATTCATTTCCTACAAACCTTTCAAGAAATTCCCTATTTTGATCACTAGGTCCTAAGAGCAAGCTTGTGGGTGTCTTTTAAAATTCCCCGATGGTACCAGTAAAGGGTTAAATAAAGTTATTGTTTCATCTTCATTGTCATTGTCATTATTATTGCCCCAGAGAAAGTTCTTGCTTGTCACCAGCAAGCTGGCAGGTGACCAACTTGAACGATGCTGCTTGGGGTTCCTTAAATCTGTATTTAAAGCAACTTTTGATTAGATAAGGTACCTCATGTGCATGTGTGTGTTTGGGGACAGTGCAGTTGGGAGTTACCTGGAAAGTTATAAAACCAGAATTTCCTTCCTTCCTAAGGGACTGACTCTGTTGGATAACTAGAGGAATTGGACTTGGTTTCCATGTACAACTTGCATTCTTCTAGAGTAAAACTTCTTTCTTCTCATCTATGTGTACGTGCATATATACCTATACTCATGAATGTGTGTATGTGTGGTTGTGTATATACATACATACACAGACACACGTATATATGTACATATGTATGTGTGAATCTATTTGTCTATATACATGTGTGTGTCTGGCACATGGTAGGTACTCAATAAATATTTGTTGAATGAACGAATGAGTACATGTATAATTGAAAGGCTCAATATATTTTATATATGTATACCCATAATTTAGTTCTTACTATATGTCAGGCAGGTTTTTTTTTTTTGGCATGTCCATAGGTTTTATCTCATTTAATCTCACAATAACTCCATCAGACATGTACTACTGTTTTAATACAAACCCCCCTCCTGCATTTTATAGATGAGGAAGCTAAGCCATGGAGAGGTGAATAACCTGGGTCCAAATCACACACCTAGGTCAGGGTGGGTGGGGTTTCAAAGGCAGGCCTGTCTTACTTTCTGGATGGTGCCCCTAACCATACTCTTCATTGTCACTAAAGAAAAGCAACCCTGTGACCCTAAGTTAGCCTGCTTCCTGGAAGGTGGGTACAGAAGTATAGAATTATTTATAAATAATTTTGTGCTCAGGGTCTCTGTATAAGGACTAGAAGGTGGAATAGGCTGCCAGTTCCAGGAGTATTCAGGATTAGTCTTTTATTACTTTTCAAAAGTTTATCCTAAAGCAGTGATTGTCCTCAGGGGAGAATGTATTGTCACCAGTGGAATGTTTAAATAGCCATTACTGACCCCACCCTAGGCTTCTTGAATCAGCATCTCCTGGGAAGGAAGATCTGCCAGTTGCTTTATAGCCTGCCTTTTATATAACCCATACCACAGTGCTGGGAAGTAGGTTTTAATATCACCATTTTACAGGTGTTAAGTGAAACTTAAGAAAATGAAGTTATTAACTAAGCCTGTCTGATTTCAGAGCTCTTAACCACTCTAATATACTACTCAAGATCATCTTAACCATTTTGGTATAGTGGACCCGTTTGTAAAACCTTTTAATGACACAGGCCTATTGAAATCTAGGTTTAAGTTCTCGCTCATCTTTTTAACCTCACATTTTCAGTTGTTGACTATTGGTTTCCCTCACTGGCCTAAAAGCATCCTCATTTCCAGTAAGATTGCAAAGATTTTCCAGATATAGCCTTTTTGGAAAGAGTGAAATAAAGGGGAATTAATAAAAGCATATTCTCTCAATCCTGGTCCAAAATGTTGAGGTTAATGGAAACCACAAATTCCCTCCTCATGAGTTAAGACAAATAAAACCATTTATGAATAGGGCACAATTTTGGGGTGGTAAGCACCATTGGTTCACAAAAGTAAAGTTTGATGAAATTAAATGAAACTGAAGAGAAGGTATATTCAACATTCTAGGATCCTGACAGTGTTGAGTTTCATGAAACCAGCTGCATTTGGGGGAGTCTTAACTTGCCCTTTTATGGGAAACTCTTTCTTTACATGCAGGACTCACAATGTTCTTAACACAAGGGACTCTACTAAATATAACTTTCACACCAGTCTCCAAAGCCAAACAGTCTCAAAAGTTTCACCTCATCACCTAACAAGCTTTGAATTCTAAGCTGCCCATACATGAAATAAGCTACGTGTGTTTTACATTTTGAGTAATGATTTTCTGCATTGACTTCAAGTGGAAAAGAAAAGGTGAACCCAGGTAAAGTCATAACAGATTATCTCCTCAGGACTCCTAAGATGCCAAGGCCTATTCACTCTAAAGGAGGAGTGGTTTGTAATTTTTTACCCCATTGCTAAACTGCCAGCTGGAAGTGTGAGGGTACAATGATTAAGGGCACGTGTTTCTAGTCAGATCGATGGAAAACTAGGTTCAAATTGTGGCTCTTCAATTTTCTAGTTGAGACACCTTGGGAAAGTATCATTGCTTGTACTCCTTTATTTGTAAAACAGTAATAGTAATAATAGGTACTCATAGGGTTACTATGAGAATTAAATGAGATTTTTGCATATGAAGTGATTCACACAGCACCTGGAATAAATGTTAAACCATAGGAACTTTGATTATTGTACAGTTCTGTCACTCTTGCATACTCAGTTTTGAGGTTTTATGAGTCAGTGATGCCAAGCCAGGCTTTTCAGATGGTACCATCTCTCCCTGTCCTCCACAGGGCAGCAGCAGCTCAGACTCTCTGGAGGGCCAGAGCTGCGACTATGCCAGCAAGAGCTATGATGCCGTTGTCTTCGATGTCTTGAAAGTGACTCCCGAGGAGTTTGCTGTAAGTAGCACAAAACGGATGTGGGTGGCTGGACACCATGCCAGGGAGTTGGAGGGTGTCACTACCAAGGGCTCTTCGTTCAGGTTAGAAACAACCCATATGCCCAAGGATAGGGGATTGCTCCGTAGAGTATGGTGCATCATTTATGACATACTGTGCAGCATTAAAAAGGATGTTGTGGATTTAGAATTATTCACCTTAGAAGGCATACACAATAAGTATGAATACTCAGTGAAAGTAGCAGGTTATAGCACAATTTTGAGAGATAATTCCACTTTCAAAAACCTTGTACAACACCATTCCAGGTAATTAGAATATATTTTTCCTTCTTTTTATTTGCATTGTTTACATTTTTCAATGACCATTTTCTATAATGATAAACATTATTTGGACATTTTTTTAATTATAATTTTTTTTAAAAATTATTTTTTTCTTCAGCTATTATGTTGCTGTAGGTCTTGCCAAGGGACAGTTCCTTGTGGTGGAGCAGAGTTGTCTCCTTGTTTTATGTTGTTGTTATGTGCCGTGGAGTCGGCCCCGACTCATAGCGACCCCTCCTTGTTTTATAGGACTTGGTTTTCTCCTTTTATGCTTTGAGGGTAGAGGGGATACACTGGCTCTGAGGTGGCCTTGGGCCTGATTCCCACAGTCTTGGAATTTCTCTCCAAAACTGTCAAAGTGTTTTCCATCCATGCCCACTTTTTCCCAGCCCCACTGTGTATAAGAGAGTTCTTGGCATCCAAGACCCAATCTCATTGCTCTGCCATCATTGGCTCCCATGTTTACTTTGTGCCAGGTCATGTTGAGCCTGGCACATGCGTCATCTCTTTGAGTGTGCCTGAGGGATCCTTTAAAAACGGCTGACAACTGTCTAGTGACTCCTTTATACTAGAATGAGGTCCAGAGTTCCTCCTGAGGCCTCCAAGGCCTTCCAGGGTCTCACCAAGCCTCCTGTCTTGTCCCCATCTTGCTTTTCAAGTACATTGGCTGCCTCTTTCATCTGCAGAGTCACTGGGCATCCTTCTGCCTCGAGGTTTCTGTGCTTATTCTTCCCTTTAATTCTAAAGGTTCTCCAGATGTTTGTTCAGTTTCTGTTCAAATGTCCACCCTAAGAGAAGGCTCACCATCTAAAATAGCATCTCCCATTATGCTCTCTACTTACACTTACCCTGCTGTTTTTTCCTATGTAACTCTCATTACTACTCAACATTACATTATGTGATAAGTTTTGAAAATTGTGTTATCTCCTCCACTGGAATATTAACTCCCTAAGGACAGGGACTTTATTTGACTTGTTCATTGCTCTTTCCCAGTGCCAAGAATAGTATCTGGCTCATAGTAAATGCTTAATAAATACGTGTTAACTAAGTGAATTCAATCCTCACAACAACTCACTGACGCAGCTTATTAGCTACCAGTTTTCTGATATGGAAACTAAGATCCGAGAGATTATTTACTTGGATCGTACAGTCAGGTGTTGGGAGATGCAGGTCTGGAATCTTTATGTCCAGGTGCTAGGAGGTAATAATAAGAGCAGCTCTCATTTTTGAGGACTTACTGTGTCTAAATCTTGTGCTAAGTATTTTATATGCATTATCTAATTACTTTGCACAATAGCTTTATAAATTAACTGTTACTATTATTTCCAGTTTATTGATGAGCAAGTTGGCACTCAGAGAGAAAAGTTTCCTATTCACACAATAGTAAGTGGCAAAACTGGGATTTCACACCAGGGCTGTTTGGCACTCTAGGTCAGCATTATCTAAAAGAAACATCCTCCCTTTTAGTATGGGCCACCAAAAAGGAAAAAAAAAAAAAAAAGAAAAGAAACCTAATACAAGGCACATATTTAATTTAGAATTTTCTACTTGCCACATTAAAAGAAAATAAGTGGTTAAAAAAATAAGCAAAAAAAGAAGAGGTAAAATTATTTTTCATAATGTATTTTATTTAACTCAATCTCTCTAAAATAGTATTATCTCACATGTTTCACATTTTTTTGGGACTAAGTCTTGGGACTCTGATGTATGTTTTACATTTATAGCACTGGTCACATTCAGACGCTCAGCCACATATGTGTGACTTGTGTTCACCATATTGGACAGTGTCTTTCTACAGTCTGCATTCTTAGCAATGAAAGTGTTATTGCCTCTCCAGTGCCGCCAGTGCCTGCAGCAGGAGTGAAGGAGCTGTGACAGGTGCTGCCGTGCAGCTGGTGTAAAACGCTGTATGGCTGTTGGGCATTTGGATGAAGCCAGGAGGAGGCAAGGAAGGAGGCGCAGATGGGAAGCTGTGGGGATTGGGATGTGTCCTGAGACTTCATGGACCTTACAGGCTCAGTGGCCTCGCTTCTTTATTCTATTTGCATTTGTTTGTTTGTTGTATTTTTAAGAGTTGTGTGCTTTAACTTCATGAAAAGAATGAAGCAATGATGAGATTAAAAAATCCTTTTATAGTTATTCACTATGAGGAATGGCAGAGTTAGCCTGCATCATAGAGCAACATTGCCTGGCAGACTGCTTGGTAAGACTATAGGCCCAGTTTTTTAGCCTTAGTCCTAGTGCTTTAAGTGGCTTGTTCTAGGCCAGTTCTCTGAGGCTGAGGAAGACTGTAGGCAAGGATGGTGAATGCTTTGGAAGTGCAGTCCTCTGCTGAGCCCAGTGTGACTTTAGCTTAGTTGTGGAACCAGGTCCTCTGGAGTTTTTGGTCTCTGGAGAAACCTTGAAGTTGCCAGGATTCCAGAACTAAAGAAGACCACCTGATATTTTGGTTACTTGTTTAATAATATTAAAGAAAAAAGCTAGCCACAAAAATCCTTTGGAAAAATCATTTAATTGATTTTGGGTAAATGGCATAGTTTTTGAATTTCATTGAATCCTCACATAAAAGCATCCAGAACAACTTGATAGCAAACCCATGGACAGCGTTACAATAAAACTAGTGATAACGATACAAACACATGAAAAGAGTCTTGTGATTATTAGCCATTAGAGAAATGCAAATCAAAACTACAATGAGGTACCATCTTACCCCTGCAAAATTGGCACTGATGAAAAAAACAGAATACAACAAATACTGGCGAGGTTGTGGGGAGATTGGAAGTCTTATCCACTGCTAGTGGCACTGTAAAATAGTGCAATCACTATGGGAAACAGTATGACACTCCCTCAAAAAGGTAGAAATAGCAATATCTTATGATCCAACAATCTCTAGATATGTATCCTAGAGAACCAGAAGGGTGGCAGTTTAAACCCACCAGCCACCCCTCGGAAGGAAAATTGGGCAATCTACTTCTGTAGAGATACCACCTGAGAAACCCAAGGAGGGGTCACTATGAGTTGGATCGACTTGACGGCAGTAAGTTTTTTGAGTATATAGATACATGTAGTGATATATACAGACATACGCACACCTGTGTTCATTGCAGCATTATGCTCAATAGCAAAAAGATGGAAACAGCCTAAGTGTCCATCAGTGGATAAGTGAATAAACAAAATATAGTACATATATACAATGGAGTACTATGCAGCTATGAAGAGTAATGATGAGTCTGTAGATGAATCTGGAGGACATTGTACTGAGTGAAGAAAGTCAGTCACAGAATGGCAAATATTATGTGGTTTCACTTTCACAAAAAGATGAGAATAGGTATACATAACAGAAGGCAACACTCATTAGTGGTTACCAAGAATGGGAGGGGGAGGAAGGGAGGGAAAATCACTGTCTAGATAGTAGACTCTTACTATTTTTGATGATGGGAAAGGCAGTACTAAATATGGGTGAAGTCAGCACAACTTAACCAAGGTAAATGATGACTCTAGGAAGTATACAAGAAGAAGGGATAATTTTGGTAAATACTAGAACATGCAGTTTTGCAACAATAGTAATGTAAAAAAAATAAGTGTGGTTACTTACATAGGTATATATGTGCATATGTGAGTATATGTATGTGCATATGTGAGTATATGTGTGTTCATATACAAGTACGCATTGCTTAACATTCATGATACATTCTGTGAAATAGAACATTAGCACAATTTGGGCATTGTGCAAACACTGTATTATATATAGGCAGTCCCTGTACAATCCATAGTTAAATCCCCATAAAGCCTATTATATTAAAACCTTATTGGGAGCCTGCTGGGCAAAGCTTGAAAACTGTATGCACTGGATACAGGAGGCCAACCTTGCTGGGTGTGTGGCTGGGCCAGACAGGGGCTGTGCTAGCAGTTGGATTGGACTTTGCACACATCCAGGTGCAGGGTGAGGGGGCGTACATGGGGGTATATTGAAGTGGCCATGGAGACTGGGCATGAAGCAGGTTGTGGGTACTTTGGGTGTGGCTGGTAATGGCAGCCCTGGCTGCTGCTGCCCTGTTAGTACAGCTACTTCCTGATTATGTGAAGCTGCAACTGCCACCCAGAGCCAGGAGCCCACAAGTGCCCCAGGCTTGGCCAGTGCTTCCAGTGCCCACAGCAGGAACAGAGGGGCCATGACAGGTGCTGCCTTGCACCAAGAATGAAAGGCTGCACTGCTGCTGGCTAGATGAATGAAACCAAGAGGAAAGGAAGGAGGAGGCAAAGAAGCAGGCACTGTGGGGATTGGGATGTGCCCTGATGCCTTGCTACTCATTCACTCTAGGGCTTTGGGGTCTTTAAAACCATTAGTGGAAAATAATAAAAGGAGAGCTGCTTTCCCTTAAAAACAAACAAACAGATAAACAAAAAAACACTTATAGGACCACAGATGTATATGTGGTCGGATGTTGCCCAAAAAGACGTTAGGCAATGCTTACCTGTATGGGTGTATCTATGTTGTAATTATGTGCCGTCAAGTTGGCCCTGACTCATAGCGACCCCTCCTTGGGTTTCCGAGGCAGTATCACTCTATGGGTATATGTATATATGTGTTTGTGTGTGTTGCACATACATTCATATATATAATAAAGCACATGCTGACAAAATTATTGATACTTCCAAGATAAAACCAGACAACCTGCA